AATATATAGAGTGAGGTCTACTGTGGACGTTTGTTATAGCTCATGCTCACTATTTACATAATCATTAAAAAAATCATGCTTCTGTCTTTAAATTAAAATACTCCAGATCTGCTATCAAACTAATTGCAAAAGACAACCAGCTAAACTGTCTATATTGCAAAAAATGCTTACAAAATTCCAATTGTTCATACAAAACATGATGAAAAACTTGAAGTTTTTTGGTTACATAAAGTGGTGCATGGCACAGACCTTGACTAGACTCTCTAATAAAGCATGACAGCACTAAAGCCTGTGATTCAAAACTGGTGGAACTGTCAAGTCCCATTTCTCTACGCTGCCATGCGGGCAAAGGGGAACAAAAAATGAGTCCCCTTTTACACACACACACACACACACACACACACACACACACACACACACACACCCCTGGGGGGGGGAAATTGCCAAAAAAATGTATATGAGTGGACACTTTGGTCAGCGTTAATCAAGCAGTAGTTCGCCATAATCAGAAGTGTCTGGATGCTGATGGTAACCACTTTGAGCACGTCTTGTAATTGCAGAAGTCAAAAGTGACGTGACTTGTATTCATCTTTTGTTATCGGTATAGATTATTATAATTTTAATACAGTTTTTTCCTTTCTTAAAATGTGTATACATTCTTTTGGCACCCTCTGTCTACTGATTTTTCCTATTCATACACATATATGACAAAGTTTAATTTATAAATTAAGCACAGTGAAAAACTAACAATAGTAATAATAATAAATAGAACAATTATAATAACATACTATAATAAAGTTATGTGAATGTAGTCTCTTTCAAAATATCTGGAATTTTCTATTTAATATTTTTGAACCACAGTTGACCACAGGTAACTGAAACGGTGGAAAGCAAAACCATGGATAATTGGGGGAGGGGGGACTACTGTATACCTTTTGTAACCCTCTGGATTTTGAACCATGTGATGGTATTACTCATTTAAAAAATAGAACTGTCCCAAGGACTCAATCGCTTGACAAGTTTTATGAACACAGACACTATAATGGTCACTATAGCAATTTTCATAATAGTAAAAGTTAGTACATAAAATATATAAAGAAATCACACACACACACACACACACACACACACACACAGAGTAATTATTCCATACAGCAACTTGGCTATAACTGGAATATAATTTTCCAAGGAGTAAAGTAAAGCTTAGACTAGTCAAGTGGCTTGCGTATCTCCCCCAGGTGACTCAGGGATGATAAACACTGTCCTAGACAGGTTTCAGGTTACTCGGGATCTTTTGGAAGATGGTCATTGGTTGAATGAAATCTATGCACTTGGACTTTCTCCCTGATTCTTTCCACTGAGAGATAGAATGCTAAGGCTACAGAACCTGAAAGGATCCCACTGGAAACTGAGAAGTGGATACTTGGGAAAAATTATGCCTTCTTAGGAGTTTACAGTTTGCATTCTGCACTGGTTTCTAGACTTTATGGAAGGAAACTCTTATGTATTAACTGAGAAGGTGACTCTATACCCTCTCATTTGTTACTGAAGTGTTGATCTAAACCTAAAGATATAGAGATGATAAAAGCTTTGAAAATTAGGGATAGGCAGGAAACTTCTTAACTTAACAAAGACATTACCAGCAAATATCATATTTAATGGTGAAATGTCAGAATTATTCTTTTAAAAATCAGAAATAACATGAAGAAGCCAGCCATCAATACTTCTACTCAGCATTGTTATGGAAGCACTGACCAGTGTAGAAAGAACAGAAAAAAATTATACTTAAAAGAAACAAACAAACAAAAAGGTCATTTTTCCCAAATGGTGATTATCTACATAGACATCCAAAAGAATATGGAGATTTCACAAAAGAAATAGAAAACACAAATCATAAATGAAGATATCAATAAATTCATCTATATTAAAATAACAAAGAAATCCTTTGTTCAGCCAGTGACATCAAGAAAAAGTCAGGGCCGGCCGAGTGGCTCAGTTGGTTAAGAGCGTGAGCTCTGAACAACAAGGTCGCCGGTTCGATTCCCACATGGGCCAGTGAGCTGCGCCTGAGCTGAGCTGCCACTGAGCTGCAAACAGGTGGCAGGATGGCTCAGCTGGTGAGAGCATGTGCTCTTAACAACAAGGTTGCCTGTTCGAGATGGCGGGCTACGCCTACCCGCAACTATGACTGAACTTGGCACCTTGAGCAGAGCGGCCGCGAGCTGCCCACAGGCAGCCAGATGGCGACTGGACTTGGAGTTAAGCTAGCTGCACCCTCCACAACTAAGATGGAAGGACAACAACTTGGCTGTTCCCCTTCCCCAATTCCCCAATACTGTTTGTCTCCTCCAATTCCCCAACACTGTCCCCCTCCCCCAATTCCCCAATAAAATCTTAAAAAAAAAAGAAAAAGTAGAAAAACAAGCTCTTGGATGGGAGAAGACATTTGCTATGTTTATACTCAACAGAGGAGAAGTGTCTACAATAAATAAGCAGCTACTTCAAATCAGCAAGAAAAAGACAAACAACCCAACAGAAAAATGAGTAAAGGATATAAAAAGACAATTCATAGAAGAGCAAATCTTAAGGGGCAATAAACATAAAAAAATGTTTAACTTAACTAGCAATTGAACTACAAACATATACCATCTCACATCTATCAGACTATCAAAAGTTAAAAAAAATGACAATACCAAGTGACTGAAGAAGGAATTGGTTTACATTTGATAGAATGCATACAATACAGCAGTGAGAATGAATGAGCTATAAGCTATCAACACACGTGACTCAAAATCATAACAAGGGCAAAAAGTTGCATTATATGTGTTATATATATAATATGGTACTATTTATATAAAGTTTAAAAGCAAAAGTAATACTTCTATATTTCACTGAGAACTATGTACACATGTAGTAAAGTGACAAAGAAATGCATAAGAATGATAAAAGGCTAAATTCAGGGTTGTGGAAACTTTCGGGGAGGTAAAGTACATTGGAAATCATACAGGGCACTTTAACTGTGTATGCAATGTTTTACTTTTCAGCTGGGTGCTGGTTTCATGACAGTTTGTCATGTCATTTGTTGCGTTAGAAATATTTTGCATGTTAGAAATTTTTACATGAAGGAAAAAGACGCAAGGAGGAGGATGCTAATCTCTAGCACAGCTTGAAGTATGAGAGTACTCATCTCTTCCTATTTTTTTCAATTTGATCACTGAAGTCACTGAAGGAAAAAAAAAATTTTTTTTTAAATGTTCCAATAGGCTCTTGACGTCTATTAAACATCAAACCTGCAAATAGGAAAGAGAAGCAGCAAGTTCCTGACTTGGGCATTTTACTGGTCCAAATTCCTACCTGTAAATTTGCCTTGTCTGCAACGCCTAAAATATCCAGGAATTTTTGCTAGTGTGATATTAATTAGGCAGAATATCATTTGGAAGTTTTTATAAAAAAAATGTTGTAATTGAGCAAAAAACCCCCCAACCTATTGGTTTCTAAAAAATGAATTCTTTAGTCATACTTTACTCTCATTTCAAAGACAAGTTCATTTGATAAGGGAACAGCTTTCAATGTAATTTCAGAGGCTACATCTTCTATTATAGAGGAGAACCGGATGGAAAGAGGACTTGAAGGAGAAAACCCCTGAGATCCTAAGCAGTGAATTTTTGCAAAAGTCTCTCCTTTTTACACATGGATCTCAAAAAGCATGGATCCGAGTTCCTTTAGAGACCAGGATGCTTTGTTAGACAGAAGATAGGAAAAAATGTTTTCCAACTGAACATGAACACTTTGTTTCAGCACAAAAATCGAAAGGCAAACAAACACTTCAACGCCTCAGAAAACAGCTACGCGATTATCTTGAACACTACACCTCAGCTTTCAATACCTTAATCAGCTCTTTCTCTTTGTGGAGGTCCTCATGAAGTTCTGGAAGAGGATCTTCACTTTGTGCCTTTAAAACGTGCAGCCTGCTTTTCAGCTCTTTGATTTTCTTTTCACACTGGTCCCAGGTCTATTTGAAAACAGTATTAAGATTGGTCAGTACTTTGCTGTTTCAGAATGAATTGCAGAACCAGAATAACTCATTTAATCCATGTAATTGCTCTACTAAATGTGTTTTTGTAATCACACAGAAACCCAGTTCCTTGTCGTAAACAAACTGTGGTCTAAAACAACAGATGGGACACCAGTATGGTTCGATGCCTCTTTGCAGCTTTGCATGTGGCTCATTTCAACCATCGGGTTGGTTGGCTTTGACTTCCAAATACCGTTGACCCTGGAAATCCCACAGGGTGGTGGCGGAGGTGGTTAGAGGCACCAACCCTTCTGGAGTTGAAAATCTCCATATAATTTAAGCTGACCCACGGCATCCAAAGATTCCCAACTGTGGATCGAAAATACTGTTTCTGATCTGCAGCTGGTTGAATCCACCAATGCAAAACCCAGGGGTGGGGAGGGCTTGCTAGATTTATTGAAACAAATCATGTGGAAGTGGACCCGCACAGTTCAAACCCGTGTGTTCAAGGGTCAACTGTATTTCTTCCTCCCTGTCCATATCCCCGATCTGTATACGTATATCTTTATTTTGGAAAAGTTCACATTTGAAAGGCTACTGTAGGGATTAATCTTTAGCATGTACCGTCTTGGGCATGTGCTACATACAAGAGCAGCATAAAGCAAAAGCACTCGACCGCTTTTCTCGTCTTCTTTTCTAATGTCATTTCTCTGCTCTCTCTCTTTCCCTTTCAGGAAATAGCCTGGTTTTCATGACCCTGCCACAGTCAAGCTTCACTCCCTCTTCATTTCTCACCACTGCTCTGACAGCCACCATCTGCCTAGAGCACCTTATGGTACCTAAGGCATTTTCAGCTTCACTGTCTTATTGTAACTGTAATAACCTTAGGAGAGACAGGGCAAGTATTACAATGATCATATTTCAAATGTGAAAACTGAGGCTCAGGGAAAACTGAATGGCCAAGGATGTGAGGGTAGAAGCCGCTTAGTGAAGGGGTGACCTAAGGCTGCAGGCTCCCCTGCCAGTGCCATTCTTACCCACCATCCGCTTTCCTTTAACCTTCTACATCACTGAGCAAATAGGTGCCTGCCTTTTCAAGTTCAGGGTGTTTACAATTGATTCGTTAGGATAAGTGTCTACTCCTAAGACTACTAAAAGTAGACAAACAAAATCAAACACTCTTCTATTCCTCGGTACAAATGATACCCAAACAAACTTGGGTTGGCCCAATTCTATGGTGACACTTCATGTAAGGGGAGGCCTCTGGTCCAGCAACATCAGCTCTCTGGGACACAACCAAGAAGAAAGCAAAGAGAAACAAAACTATGAGTCCTTATCTCCCCCACCAAACCGTTAACTGCATCCACCACCATGCTTTACAAACACAGCAGGTGCTCAACAAACGTTTGCTAGTTAATGAATTTCACGTAATCTGTATACCAAAGAGAATTCAGGTACTTTATTCACAGGAGAGATGCTCAGGCCCTACCTCAGCACATATTTATTCTTTCTTCAGAAAAACATCTCTGATAAGCTTGGTTATCTGGTTTTGACACACAATAGTTTAGAGGAGAGTGGGCTATGAGGAGTAGGTATGCTCAGAGAAACAAAAACAATAGCTTCATATTTTTTTGTTTTGTTTTAGTGTCAGGTGTACAAAACAATGCAATAGTTAGACATTTACACCCCTCACAAAGTGATAACTCCCCTCCCCCAATCTACTATCCCTCTGATATCATATTGGGTTGTTGGAAAAGTCATGACACATTTTTGCAATGAAAAACAGAAAAAATAGGTCATGACTTTTCCGACAGCCCAATATATAGCTAGACAGTTTCATAATAAATGGAGAGGAAAAATCATAAAAACCACATAAGACCTCAAAGAGCATAGTACTATAAGGGATAGGTTCAAAGCAGCTCAGAGTCCTTGAGGATAAACTTGGTGTTATAGCATAACAAAATAATGATTTTCTGAATAATGATTCCAAATAAAACATCTCAGTTCTTAAGGATATCAATTATCTGGGAAATTCACTTATATGGAAGAGCACTTTCTCTGATGATAACAGAAAGATGAAGTATCGCCGTGTTTATTTTCAGATACTATACCCAAGGACAGACCATATGTGGAACATTAACTATATAAGTTTCCTGTTTCATAAAAGCAAATATAAAATAGAAACTCAAGTATTTATATACTTAATATTGGGCTTTTTCAATGCTATTATTGTTATTCTACATTAAGTAACTGGTATGATTCATGGGTTAGGAGGACTCAAGGTCCTTTGGAAAACTCACAATGTCATCCTAGAATCATTCCCATTGTCACACAACAAACAAAAATTCTATGTACTGCATGTGAATATCATAAATGGAAAGGAAAATGGTGAATTCACCTCGACAATGCTCTGGAAGTGTTTAATCATCTCTCCTAATCGGAGCTCTGTGTCCTTCCAGCTGTCCTCAAGTTGACTGATTCTCTTGTCAACAGACTCTTTATTTTCCAGGTTAGCTGAGTTCCGTAACTTTTCCCCAGCGTCCAAGGTTAGAGCATAGGTGGTTTGCCATCTCTGAAAATGAATTTCTTTATTCTAAAACAAAAAAAAAAAAGAAAAAAATAAGTGATGTGTTTAAGCCATTTCAGACTTATCAAAAGACCTGCTCCTGCTCTGGTCTTCCCCGACTTGGCCAACAGCACACTACTCACCAAGATGCGCAAGCCAGAAACCTAGAGTCATCTTGTTTTATAGTCTTACTTACCTGCTACAGTACATCCACACCATTAGCGTCTTGTACACACTACCTACAAACATATCCTTCTTTATCTTTACTGTGATCACCCTTGTCCTATCCATCATAACGACTGTCTAAGACTATTGAAATAGCCTAGCTGGTTTTGGCGGATGGCATTTTTCACAAAATGGCCATAGCAATAGTCCCAGTCCCACGTGCTCTTCCAGAACATTTTCAGTTCCCTTAAGTGGTGGTGCCTCTGTCCCCAACTCTTGACCCCATGTGGACATGTGATGGCTTGGATTAACAGAAGGTGGTAGAAATGACATACATGATTTCCAAGGCTAGGTCTAAACAGCAGTTTTCCCCTGGATCTCTCTTTCTTGGGACATATGCCTTTGAAGCCATGAGCTGCCGTATAAGTCTGCCTACCAGAAGCCTCTCCATGTGGAGCGACCACAGGGAATGATGCCCAAGGAGCCCCACCTGTTCCAGTTCCTAGCTGTCTCAGTCTTTCCAGCTTAGGTGCTAGTGCGAGTTCGCTTTCAGATGAGTCCAGCCCCAGCCGCTATCTGACTGAAACTGCCTGAGGCACTAAGTAAAAACCACCTAGCTAAGCCCTGTCAATCCCCAGCACTATGGGACAATAATCTATGATGGTTGTTATAAAGATAAGCAACATGTGAGGGATTCCTGATTTCCTTTGGCTCCTCTACAATCCATCCTTCTCAGAGAAGCCAGAAAAATCTTTAAAAAATACAAATAGAGTCATGCTGCCCCATCTTCCAACTAAAACTCTTCAAAGCCCTCCTATTACATTGAGGCTGTAATTCACCAACTACATATCTTGCCTACAAAATGCTCCTCCCAGCCTGCCTCGCAAGTTCATTTATTATCACTGTGGCCTCTTGGCTATCCTCTAGCCCTACTGGCCTTCTTCCTGTTCCTCTTTGATAAGCTTGCTCTCATTTTGGGGATTTGGGGAAAGCCATTCCCTCTCAAAGGCTCTTTCCCCAGAGAGAGCCTGTGGGGAAATGAGCTGGTTCCTTCTCATCATTCAGTTTCAGTTTAAACATCACATTCCCAGAGATCACTTAGTCTAAAGTAGTCACCCTGCCCCTCCATTACTGGCCCTGTTTTAATTATCTACATATGCCTTATTAAAATCTGGTATTTTCTTGTTTACTTATTAATTTCTCTGATTGCCCCATCAATTAAATTAGTTTTTAAAAATAATTTGTTTTTCAATTACAGTTGACATAAAATATTATATTAGGTTCAGGTATAAAACAGTGATTAGACATTTATATAACTTATGAAATAATCAATCTCGTAACCATTCTGACACCATAAATAGTTATTACCATATTGACTATATTCCTTATGCTATACTTTACATCCCCATGACTATTTTGTAACTACCAATTTGTACTTCTTAATCCTTTCACCTTTTTCACCCAAACCCCCAACCCACCCCCAATCTGGCAACCATCGAAATATTCTCTGTTTCTATGAATTTGTTTGCTTTGTTTATTTTATTCTTTAGATTTCAGACATAAGTGAAACCATGTGGCATTTGTCTTTCTCTGTCTGACTTACTGAACACAGGACAATACCCACTAGATCCACCCATCTTGTCGCAGATGGCAAGATTTCATTCTTTTTGATGGCTGAGTAATATTCCACTGTATGTATGTACCACCTCTTCTTTATCCATTCATCCACTGATGGACACTCAGGTTGCCTCCATATCTTGGCTGCTGTAAATAATCTGCAGTGAACATATGGATGCACATGTCCTTTTGAAGTAATGTTTTCCGTTTCTTGAAATAAATACCCAGAAGTGGGATTACTGAGGCCCGCTTTGCCTTTATTTTAAAGTCTATTTTGCCTGGTGTAAGTATTGCTACCCCAGCTGTTTTTTTCATTTCTATTTTCATGAAATATCTTTTTCCTTCTTTTTCAGTCTGTGTGTGTCTTTCGATCTGAAGTGAGACTCTTGTAGGGAGCATATGTAAGGGTCTTGTTTTCTTATCTCTTCAGCCAGCCTATGTCTTTTGATTGGAGCATTTAATCAATTTACATTTAAAGTAATTGTTGGAGGTATGTAGTTTTACCATTTTGTTACTCTTATTTTTGATCTTTTTCTTCTTCATCTTAAAGAAGTCCCTTTAACATTCCTTGTAATATTTGTTTGGTGGTGATGAACTCCTTTAGCCTCTTCTTGTCTGGGAAGCTCTTCATTTGTCCTTCGATTCTAAAGGATAGCCTTGCTGGGTAAGGTAATCTTGGTTGTAGGTCCTTACTTTTCATTACTTTAAATATTTTGTGCCAATCCCTTCGGGCCTGCAAAGTTTCTGTTGAGAAATCAGCTGCCAGTCTTACTGGAGCTCCCCTGTAGGTAATTAACTGCTTTTCTCTTGTTGCTTTTAAGATTCTCTTTGTCTTTAACCTTTGGCATTTTAATTATGATGTGTTCTGGTGTGGTCTGAAGTAGATCACCTGGTGTGTTGGTTCTGGGGCCTCATGGGAGGGGCTCTGTTGCAGACCAAGGTCAGTTGGCTGCCTGTACCTGGCCAGGGCAACTTGGTGTGAGCTACAAAGTGATCCTCAGATGGTTGCCCCCTGTGCTGGGCTTGCAGGTGCCTGGGAGAGGCTAAGCTGAGAGTCGAGGCCAAGCTGAGAATCGAGGCCAGCTGCTGCTAGTGCCAGGTTTGGGGCTGCTTAGCAAGAGGTACAGGGCATGCGGAAGTCACCTGCTGCCTCTTTGGGGTTTGGGACCAGCCTGTTCTGCATCTCAACCTTTCCTACCAGTCTCAGTGTGGCTTCTTCTGTATGTCCTTAGTTATAGGACTTCTGTTAAGCTGGACGTCAGGCGATTCTCAACAATGGCTGTTCTGTAGTTTAGTTGTAATTCTGAGGTGGTCATGATAGGAGGCAAGCACAGTGGTTACTACTCTGCCATCTTGACTGGAAAAATTAGTATTTTTTATTTATTAATTTGTCTGGTTGCCCCCAGGAGCGTGGGGGTGGGGTCTTCTCTTAGTCTACACCATACTCCTAGCACTTAGAATAGTGACTAGCACAGAACAGGTAGCTAATGCTTGACAACTGGATAAACGAATGAAGAAAGCACAGGATTTCAGAAGGGTGGTGTTTCGTTTAGCTGTACCTCTCGAGAGTGGTTCTATAGCTCAATGGAACATGCCCTGGGAACTGCCAACTGATTACTCCAGTCCTATGCTCATTAAGCACCTTTCTGATTGAAAACTTTGTTGCCTAAATGAATTTTTCCTTCAACAGTAAGCGGAGTCCACTGTAAATGACATGGTGGTCTATTTATATATTACTCAGTACCTTAAAAGCTTGGGCGGTGTGAGTGTCACCCAAGACGTCCCCCACTCTACCCATCCACCTCTCCACTCCATCCCTACTCCCACAATTGAAGAGGGCCTCACTATTTCTGGATGAATGGATAAGACTGGTTTTCTGACCCCACAAGGCTAGGTAGGGACAAGGCGGGTAGGGTTGTGGTGACCCTACTCAGAGGGCTTCCCCATTGCCGGGAGCGCACTTGAGCCAGGACATCACAGAAGCATAAAAGCTGAGGTGGATGAACATCCTCCAAGCAATGAGCATCCTGTCGCTCTCTCACTGCTACTCTGTGTGCAATACCTTCAGCTCATGGATCAGGCTTCTCGTCTGGTAGAGGCTGTAGCAGTCCTGGCTCTTCACTGCAGACAGCAGGTGGCTGGTGTCGGTGAGGAAGCGGAGCAAGGTGTCCTCCGAGGTGGCGAAGTACTGCCACTGCCTCCCCAGCCCGTCGACCTCACGCTTCCTCTGCCGAACGCCCCGGGCGGCGCTCTGCCACTGGTCCTTCAGCTGAGTGAACTTCGAAACAAATTCCGGTCTTGGGAAAAACAGATGGTTAGAGAATTCTGACGTGAACATGTAGAAAAAGATAACTATCACAGCATAATCGAAACTCAGATTTGTTATCGATATGTGCAATTTACATGCAAAAACACTTAAAATCTTAGCACCATTCGACTTAAATATGATGGGGAACTTGGAACCGGAACAGGGGCAGCATGTGGGTTGGTAAAAAGCTTTTAGCAGGGGATATTTGCATATGACGTGGTATTTTGCCAGCATGCATGACAACCATTCCCTTAAACAAATTGAAGCTATTTTAATATCCATTATACCAAATGCTGAATGGAAAACTACACACTGGATAAGTGGGAAACAAATGAACAGGTAGATACCTTGTAATGTTATCAGTACCTTGAAGGTTGTACTTTATGTAATTTCATCAATAAAAATACCCTTTCTGCAACTACTGAACTAATTCTTTTCCAAGTAAATGACACCCTTCACATGATAAATAAGGCTTTTTTATTTATTGTGGGAAAAGTCATGCTTTGCTGTACTGATCAAATCAAAACTAGTTGACCATTCTGGAATTGTCTTGAATTTATAACTTCAGAACTAGTTAGAAATGGGCTTTATATTTCTTAGTTATGCTGAAAGAAGGTTCAGAGGTATATGCGTGGTAATAAGGAGGAAACACAATACCTATCAGGACATTTGGAGAATTATTTAAGAGGCCAGGCCACTTTCCAGCTCTGCTGCCATGGGTACCAGTTGTGCAAGCAGGCTCAGTTATTGTCACCAGGCTGGACTAAGGGGCTCTGCTCTGCCTGATTGGCACTGTCCAGTGACCCCAAGCCCATGTACACAGCATAGAGAGAAATCCCTTCTTTCAGAACTGTAACATAGCTGCTTGTAGGAACAGCAGCACTTTCAGAATTATTTTTTAAATAGCAAAACATCATGAGGCTGAAGGTAGAGAGGAAAACATACTACAGAAGAATCCTTTGGGGTAAAAACTTAGTTATGTGTACTCGGCTAGTAGGTATTTCTGAAGTGAGTGGTCTGCTAACCCCATCCACCCACCATAGGGAAAAGTGCCACCATTGTTTTTATGGTCACATAGCAAGACCCCGTCCTAATATCCAGTCAGAAGACTGGCCCCGTGGTGGTCTGCCAACTGACATGGCCGAGGGCATTGACGTGGTCAAGACTCACGTGGTGGAAGGTCTGTCCCAGACACCACTCCCCCCACACACCCAGAAACCCCAGCCAGCTTACCTTTTCTCTATTTCTGTTGTGTCCAAGAGTTGTAAGCACTGGGTGACATAGGAATCAGCCGTTGCCTGGTTTACAGAAACTTCAGCCTCTAACATCTGTATATGAGTTAAAATATAAAGTAGCTTATAGAATTCATTTTGTGACTCGAGCTTGTATTTCCTATTAAAACCTAAGTTCACAGAGGATATCTGAGATGATTAATTTTCAAATTCTATGACCCTAATGGCAAGACACGGCTCAACCATCATATCAACATAACCTATTAATATAATCACAGAAGCAGAAAGACACAATAATAACTATAACTAATGCCTGTTTATTCGGCATTTACTACTTTCTAGACACCATGTAAAACATGCATTGTTTCACTCATTCCTCAAACTTCAGACTTAAGTACTATTATTATATCCATTTGAAGAGGAAGGAGCTAAGGTATAATGAAGTTCAGTAATGTATCAAGGTCACTTGGCTTTTTGGTGGCCGAATTTCATTTTCATTGGATGATATTAATGTTACAATGCAGACTAAAATCAGTTACATTAAAAAGTTACAGTGAACTAATCGTGCACACTATTGAAATGAAGGATCTGCCTATAACCACCAAGAGTATTTCCAAATATGCATCAGTACGAGTGCGGGGACGCTCCTCTGTGAAATGATTAAAGCTGCAATTATAATTATACCAGGTTCTTTAATATTTTAGAGAATTAGTGAAAATGCAAAGATGAGCTGAAGTACTTTAATGTGCTCTCAGTAAAGTGGTATAATGTTTGCATTCTGTAGAAGAAAAGGTGTGCTAGAAGCTTCCACCTACTACAGAAAATCTAGGAGTTCTGTGATTAATAAAATAGAGCAATAAAACAAAATATGAAAATTTATGAAATGTGAGAATTTTACACAGGCTCAATTGACAACAGAATTTGCTTAAAGACATACACTGATAGGCACTCTCTGTATTTTATGTAAACATGTCTTTTTCTGACTCCTCCTCCAGGGTGAGGGGGGCAAGGGTGGCGGAGGGCTCAGGTTTACCTCGTATGTTTTCTGCTGCTCCAGGAGGGCGGGAAGGCTGGCAGCAATATCCCCCTTGAGCGTCTCTTCTATCTTCTCCAAAAGTTGGACCCACTTTTCACAGCAGTAAAGAAACTTTTCATTTATTCCAATTCCCTGAAGCTCACTACAGTGGTTTAAGAACAAACAAAATGGTGACATGTAACAATGACTTGACTGAGCTCACGCCGTATATTTTACCTTAACTGACACAGAACGGTAGAGGTGGGCTGTTCTGACCTGCAGCGTTCCAGCGCTGTTGCCGTGGCCCGAATCCATTGTCGGTTCGCGTTTTGCAGTGTCTTTACAGCTATGTCACTGAGGGGGAGCTTGAGGCTTACTTCATTCAGATGTTCAACATCAGGTGACAGGGCTGTCAGTGTCAGCACGTGATTCTATTAAAAATAAAGAATCCAGATTTTTGGATGCTACTAAGATATCCACATGATGAAAAGGTCTCAGGGATCTTGTAGACCATCCTTATCTCAAAGATGAGGGAAAACTGGGGCCAAAATGGGTAAATGACTTGCCCACAGTCTAACAGCTTGTTAGTGTTAGAGTTGGACCCGAACCAGGTCTCACAATACTGTGAGTTTTCTAAAATAACAAGTTGCACACATGGCTAGAACCTAAACAGCCCAGGAAACAGAAAGTGATCTCAGATTTTGACTTTGAGAAAGATCGAGTTATTATTTTTTTTTAAAGATCCATTCTGGATCTCCAAGTCTCATTTGGTCTGTTAACAAATTTACCTTCTACAGATCATTCAGTTTACCTACAAATCAAATGGAAATTTAATCCTTAAAATAACTCTAGCAAAACATGGTACTTAAAACATCTGTATTTTGGTAGAATGTAGTAAAATCGTAAGAAAGCAAACTCATCAAAATTTTATTTTTAAAGTGGTATCTCAGTGACAGCCTCTAGGTCAACAATATGTTAAGCAAACATCCTTTACAATCTCCACGGAGCTGTGCTGCGATAATCTGGTCTGAGTCAGTAAACATTTTCTGCGAAGGGCTAGATCATAAATATTTTAGCCTTTTATGGGTCATATGATCTCTGTTGCAATTATTCATTTCTGCCCTTGTAGTACGAAAACTCCAGGAAACAATGCGTGAATGGAGGGGGATGACTGTGTGCCAATAGCACTTTATTTACAAAAGCAGGTGGTGGGCTGAATTTGGACAGTGTGCCATAGGCTCCTGACTCCTCATCTAGGTTATCAGTAGGCCCTTAGGAGTATGCAGGAGCCAGAATTCTTTAAACCGCCCCTTCATTTATGTTAACTACACTAAACTTACTAAGCTAATAAAGAAGGGGAAAACAGACAATTAATTTAATAGGTTATTTTACTTCAACTAACAAGACAAATTTAATTAATCACAACAGCCAATTCCTAGATTATTCTAGTTGACTGAAGCTAATTCATCAAGACATCAAAAGTTAAAAATTTACTAAAATTACTGTGGCATGTTACTAAAATAGATCCCTATGGTGTCATACTTTTCTAGAACTTAGGGAAACTAGGGCAAGGATGAATGACATATAAATTACTGTTCTTAAGAGCTAGGATACAAACAGATTCTATGATGTGAAATTGGCTGTTTTATCCTATGGTGAGTCTATGCCCTCAGAAATGACAAATATTGGCAGTACCAGGTATGAGTCAGGATTTTCTTCTTTTTCTTGCTGGTGGAGTGTATCCAAATTCTCTTCTTCATGCAGAATGAGACCTTTTAAAGATTCCAACCGGTCCCCAAAATCCTTGAACTGTGATAGAACCAACTAGAACCAGAGAAATTTTCATCAGGAACAATTTTAATGTACATATATAACCAGCACAGCCTTGGGAGCTGATAAAAGTTCAAGTTGTTTTCAAGCCCCAGCTGCTCGTTACTACCTTGAATATTCCGAAGGCTCCCTATGTTCACTCTGTGCCTTTGGCAAAGTATGGAGCCTTCAGGGATGAATGGCTCACCTGTGAGGGGCCACACAGAGGAGGGTTAGTGAGTACTCTGCTCCCTCGGTCCTGCTAGTTAAATTTTTCCTGCTGGTATTGCCATGTGATATTGGAGTTCCATGGCCTTTTATGCAGCTTTTTGACAGTGCATGCACGAAGGCTTTTCTAAAAGCGACTAAAGAATACAACAAATGGCCATGCTTTAAGCAACCAATTCTGTTACCCCACTTGGAGATCCCAATATCTGTGAGATCTAAACAGTGTACAAAATATATCACTTCTTACATTAATATGTTCAATCAAGAAGAAATGGTTGCTTAAGATACACCCATTGCTCATGTGATTGAAGAATCCCATGATTAAAGAATGGTATCAAATAGCAGATATGTTCGGGGCAGCTTTATTCTGTAGTTGCCCTAAACGACAGTCCACAAAGCACTGATAACTTATATGACATATACTATGCTCCTTATATATTTTATATATTCCTTCTGTCTTATTACTTCATAGGCTATAAGGAATTGATGGTACTAGGCAAATCTCCAACAAGACTATAACTTGAATGGAAAAATAAGACGAACCTCAAATTCAGTAGCTTTCACCAACAGCATCTTCCCCAAGTGAGAAACTCTCTGGAGCGAGTGTCGTTGACCAGAGAGGAGCACGTGGGTGTCCGACTCGGCCGGTTGTGGGAGTCGATCCAGGAGAGTGGAGTTTTGGAGAATGGCTTCTTTTGTCTTTTGCACATCATGCTGAAGCTCCTGGAGAAGAAAAAGTGATCACAAAACATTTCCTCCACTTTCACAACATGAGCCCCCACTCCATAGGGCTCCATCAACATTGAGGGGACTTTCTGCCCTGATATTGTGGGCATGGCTTTTTGTTACTGTTTATTTTAAAGAGCTGAACAAGCTAAGCTTTCTTTGTATGGTGCCCAATCACTGCTGCTGTTCTGCAATTTGTCAGTTCGGAGCTGAAACTGACCACTAGAATTGGGGCTTCTGGTTTCAAGAAACCAGAGACCATTTGGGTCGAGTCCTTTGTTTTGTATTTCTAATCATCAGCCATGTTAGCAAACTGCTTGAGTGTCAATTTAAGAATCAACGCGACCCTGTCCTCTGCCTGAGACTGTGACATAAATAGATTCATCTGCGGAGATGGTAGAATCTCATCAATGAAGCTGATTTTAAGGCTACTCTGGAAATACTGAGTGTGTGAAATTTTTTTTTTTAAACTACAGATTAAGTGGAAGGTAATCACAAATACTGATCATATCTATTGGATTCCTGTCTCTCCCATTAAATTGGTTAATGCTTTTTGATTTGCCCTATAGTATCCAATGATACAAAACACAGCTGGTCACCCAGTTTAAAACATGAAAGTAGTCACTTTCTGGGCATTCGTGAACATACTTGGATAAAACCAGAGAAAATTATACAGCTCTTAAATACAGTCTAGAAACCACTACATCCATAGAAAAGTCATATTAATGTGGAGGCGAATCCATGATTATTTCTAAAGCAAGAAATTCAACATCGATTAATACTATTCTTAGATGATCCCACTCAGTTGAGACGCAATAGCTTTTATTTGAGACTCTGTATGAGGCTTTTACTTCAGAGTTTTACTTGCTAGAGTGAAAGGGGAAACCTGGAACCAGGTGGTGTCAGGTGCCCCTGACTAGCTACCTGCCACCTGGCCCTCCCAACCGCGCACATCCCGGTCTTGCCCGCGTCCTACACAGCCTGCCCATACACCTGTCCTGACCCAATTCAGTCCCTGTGGTCTGTCTAGTCCCTGGATCATGGCCTTGACTGCGGGACTGTCTGGGCCCTTGGTTTTCCCAATGGGTTTGGCATCACCTTTATGTCCTGCAGGGCTGGGGTCAGGATCTCTTGCAGGTTATTTCCAGACATGTTGATGTTTGCGAGCTGTCGGTACTTTGCTTCCTGCTGCTCCAGCCTTGCTACCGCTTCAGTGTGAGTGCTGGTATAGGCCGTCCAGAGCTGCAGCAGACTCTGGGCCTTCTGCAACTCATCCGCAATGTCCTGGTTTACCTGAGCCCACCTGTCAGGGCGACATGAACAACAGGTCCCTCATCGCATCCTTGCCCTTGCAGCAAAAGCTCAAATGCACATGCTCTACCAGAATGCTAATAGCAGATGGAATGGCAAGGAGACACTGTGAAGTGCCTTTTACTAAGGGCACTGCCATTACATAAACGTAAGTCCATATCAGGATATGTAACTAACTGTACAATTCTCAACAAAAATTACAAAATTTGTGATTGGCAAGAAACCTCCATTGTATTATAAATGTCTCTTAGGTTAAGTTGGAGAAAGTACTGAGCTGCATGCCTGCTGAAGCTTCTCCACATGGGAGGGCCTCCTATTTTATAGAGGGGGTCTTTAAATAGGCCGATTCAAACTGTGTTACAAAAGCCCCTTGTTCCTAATGTAGAAGTGGAAATAAAGGAAATGGTTTCTGTTTCATATGCAGACTACAGCATCTTGTCTTTCTTTCCCATCACTAAATCAGCTTTAGACCCATTTTCGTATCCTATTCAGCAAAATGAAAAGCCTTGCAATTAATTAGGGCCACGTGCCTTAGAAGGAGCTTTCTACCACAAGCACTTCATCCAACTTCTCTTCCAAGCCCACATGTCACCTCCCTGGGAGGTGTTCTAACATCCCCTTTCTTCTGTTTTATGTTTCCAGTGAAAGAGGTTGCCTATCTGGCCCACCTGTTCGTCTTTTCTGCCTGTGATTTTGGTGTCCTGAGGCTTGCACTGGGCATTTAGTCTCTGCCCCCTGAAAATGGCTACTCTGGGGCTGTAATGAGGGCATTTCTACACTGATTATACCAAACACTTGTACAAGGCAGGTATCAGCCTTTACAACATCAAATCATCCATGAACTAGATAGAATCTTGTAAAACAGAGACCTGAATAGTCTGAAGCCAGTCATCTCAGGTGATTAAGAAGATAAGACCTTCCAAGGCCCATGGCACTTCATTTACCACGTCATTAAGATATCTGATCTGTTATTCAAATTGTATCTTAATGTATACCTTGTGTGAGTATCTTGGCATTTCTCTTCGACTATTTCAGCCACTGAGGGACAGTGATCTTTGAATTTTCCAATAACCTCCTGGAGTTTCTGCCAACTCCCTTCGCTGCTCTCAGCTTCATCTTGAAGAGCCTAAGAGAACACAGCACGAACGTTAGTTTCAAAATGGCAGCAGCTTTTCAACGCTTGCTGTATGGCACAAAAATAACAACACTCAAACCTCGACAGGACTGGGATAAATTGTTAGAAATGTAAAGAAGAAATCAACTGGCAAGGCATTCTTTCATTTGACACTAGAACTTTAAGAAGTGTACTTAAAAAAATCCCACCCAAACCCAAAATGTATAAATTGTGAAATAATAAGGACATTAAAAATGAAGAACGATTAAACTTTGGAATGCAAACTTTTACCAAGTTTCATTCGCTTGGCTCATGTGATTCACTCTGGAATTTCCAGTTGTACTTCTGCTGCTGTTTAAAATGCTGTTATGTGCTTCTCTGTCAAGAGCACACAGCCACTGCATCACTTACTGCGGTGCTTCCATTGGGGTTTTCTTGCTAATAGTGCGCTGTGCCCAGGTTGGGTTAACTTACCTGAAGGTTCTGCACCTGGCATCTCAAGGCCTCCAGTGATAAAGCCACAGGCTTGCTGTGTTCCAGGCAGTAGCGGAACCGGACTGTCAACGTAGTCACGTCATCATAGAGTTTATCATAAATCTTCCACTCCTGTAACATGGACTGCATGGAGGTTTTGAGCTCATTGACCTACACGAAATGTGAAAAACATATTTAGAAAAATCACTGAGAGGAGGCTCTCTCTCTCTCTCTCTCTCTCTCTCTCTCTCTCTCTCTCTCTCTTTTTTTTTTCTCCCTGTGCAAGGTCTCTACTATTGTATCCAATTTAGGCATTGCATTTGAGGGTACTGGAGGAGCTTCAGTGATTAACTACAGGTGGGAAGGGCAGGTCAGTGAACAAAAACTATCAGAGAAGGCTAAGTTTTAGAACAGATGAATGGAAAAGAGCCCTGAGGATCAGCATGGAGAGTTCAGCCTAGAGAAAGAACCCAGGGTGAGGAATCAGAATCGCGAATGCACACTTCAGTGACGCCCTATTTGCTTTCTGACCTTGGGCAAGTTATTCAACCCTTGAGTGTTTTGTCATCCACAAAACAGAGATAATAAATGAAAAAATAAGTAAAATAGTGTCTGTGAAAATGCCCTGAAAACTGTAAAGCATTATACATGTAAAATGTTACCTGTGGTAGTTACCTGGCACTTACATCTGATTATTACCAGGAAGCAAGCATAAACTGGAGGGGAACATGCTTGGCCAAAATAATAGGCCAGTGCTAAGTAGGAGGAAATGCGTATTTTAATCGTTTACATGTGCTGACAATCATGAAAGGATAGAGGTTGAATGATCATTTTAATGATCTCTGATACAATCGAGTATAAATACACATTTTTATATACATTATGTAGCCAATATTTATAACTCAACAACAAAAAGATAAATAACCAAACGCAAAAAATGGGTAGAGGAGTTGAATCTCCCTAAATATTGGGTTGTCAGAAAAGTCATGATGCATTTTTGCAATGAAAAACAGAAAAAATACATCATCACTTTTCCGACAACCCAATAATATATACAGATAGTCAATAAGAACATGAGAAGATGCTCAACACCAACTCATGAGAGAAATGTAAAAAAAAAACCATAATGGGATTAATACTTCACACCCACTAGGATGGCTATGATCAAAGTTGGATAATAACAAGTGCTGGCAAGAGTGTAGAAAAACTGGAACCCTCATACATTGCTGGAACATAAAATCTTGCAGCTGCTGTGGAAAACAGTTTGGCAGTTCTTCAAAAAGTTAAATATAGTGACTATACCACTGGCCAGTTCTACTTAGGTATATACTCGACAAGAACTGAAATCATATCTTCACACAGAAATGGGTACATAAATGTTCACAGCAGCATGATTCATAAAAGCCTAAAGGTGGAACAACCCAAATGCCCATCAATGGATAAACTAAATGGAGTATATCCACACAATGAAATAGTTTTCATCCGTGAAAAGAAATGAAGTGCTGATATACCCTATAATGTTAATGATCTTGAAACATGCTAAGTGAAAGGAGACAGATACAAAAGACTATATATTGTATGATTCCATTAATATGAAATGTCCAAAACAGGCAAATTCAAAGAAAGAGAAAGTAGATCAGTGGTTTCCAGAGACCAGGGTAAGGGAGGAATGGGGAGTTGACTGCTAATGGGTATGTGGGTTTCTTTTGAGGTAACAAAATGTCCTAGAATTAGATAGTAGTGATGGTTGCAAATCCTTAACTATACGAAACACCACTGCATTGTATATTTGAAAGGGTGAGTTTTACGGTGTGAATTATACATCAATTTAAAATAAGGATCGGAGTAGAAATAAAGCATGGTCATGATGTTGGCCCAACTAGACATCTTTACCTGCAGTGTGATGTCGAGCTTTGGATACAGTCACAGGCCTGCATCAGGCCCTCTGTTCTTTGCTTAACAACTACAAGGGCCACTGCATACCCACAGTGACGGTGACGGGAGTTCCTCAAACCCTTTCACAAACAGGGACAGATGAGGAACCACCTGGGATGCTAAACTGTTAGTCTCTCATTGGCAATTAAGGGAGCCAAATGTGTTTATAAGGGCTCGATGGCTCAGAAAAAGAACCAGAGTCATTAAGAATAAGACAGGAAGAAAAAAGGGAGGCAGGAACTCCTTACAGACATACCCCTCCAAAGCTGGGACCTATCTGGGTGGCAGGAATGGTCCTGGCACACAGGGCACTTCTTGGCTTCTGCATATAAAGTTGGTGTCATTTCTGGGGCTCTTAAGGGTAAACCCTTTAGAATATTACAGCTTCATAGAGAAGAAATGGCACATGTGGTTTGAGGGGAAGGATAAAAAAACCATTAAGCAAAACTCACTACACTAGAAACAAAGAGGAACATTTTCAAAATGTTTGAAATGGAATCAGTCAGTAGGGCAGGATTCACTGAGTGCCGCAGAGGCATTGCTACAAAAGTGGAAATAACAGAGTCGGTATTATTCCCCCTCACTTTAGATCAGGAAATTGAGGCTCAGAGAGGGGAAGTGCCTGCCCTAGGACAGACAGAAAATGGTGCTGCTAGGATCTCATGCAAAGCCCTTGTTCTTAAACACCAGGCTATCCTGACTCTGTAGAGCTTATGGGTGGATGATTTAGGTCTTGTGTCCTCTGTATTTTTTTTTTTAATAATAGCTTTATCGAGATACAATTCACACACCATACAATTAACCTCTTTGAATTATACAATCCTCCTAATTAGTTTTAGAATATTTTCATCACCCCAGAAAGAAACCCCATACCCATTAGCAGTCACTCTTTCTTCCTCCAGCCTGTCCCCTAAACACGAATCTACTTTGTCTTTATAGATTTGCCAATTCTGGACATTTCACATAAATGGGATCATACAATACGTGGTCTTTTTTCACCGGCTTCTTTCACTTAGCATGATGTTTTCAAGGCCATCAATGCTGTAGCATGTTATCAGTACTTCATTTCTCTTCATGGCTGAATAATAGTCTACATTTTATATAACCATATATAAGTTGATGGACATTTTAGAGATTATGTATCACGCTGCTATGACCATTTGTGTACCCGCTTTTGGTGCAGACATAGGTTCTTATTTCTCTTGTGCATAGATACCTCAAGTAGAATTGCTGGTTCATATGGTAACTTCATGCTTAACCATTTGCGGAGCTGCCAGACTATTTTACAAAGTGGCTGCACAATTTTACATTCACCATAGTGTACGAGGGTTTCAGTTTCTCCATATCCTTGTTAATGCTTATTATCGTCTCACTTTTTATTATAACGACCCTAGTAGGTATAAAGCGGTATTTCATTGAGGCTTCAATTTGCATTTCTTTGAGGGGCATCTTTTCATGTGCTTATTGGCCACTATGCATATCTGTTTTAGAGAAATGTCTATTCAGGTCATTTGCTCCTTTTTTCATTTGGTTATTTGTCCTTTTATCACTGAGTTATAGTCAACCGTTACATATTCTAGATATAAATCTTTTATCTGATATAACCATTATAGCAAATATGTTCTCTCATTCTGTGGTTTATGTTCTTACATTTATCAATTTCTTTGGTTACTTGTGTTTTTGGTGTCCAATCTAGGAAACCAGCGCCCAATCCAAAGTCATGAAGATTTACACCTATGTTTTTTTTAAGAGTTTTGTAGTTTATTTAGCTCTAACATTTACATCTTTGCTCCATTTTGAGTTATTTCTACATATGGTGTAAATATAGAAGTCGAAATACTTTTTTGAATCTGGATATCCAGTTGGCCTAGTACCATTTTATGAAAAGGCTTTTCCCCCCAATAAATTGTCTTGCATCCTTGTCAAAAACCAATTGACCATAAATGTGAGGGTTTATTTCTAGACTCCCAATTCTATTCAATGTATCTATATGCCTATCCTTCTGCTAGTACTATCTGCATTTTTTATTTACAGGTATTGTTTAATCCTTTCCCCCCTCTACATTTTTATTCTATTGCAATTTCTTGTGTTATAATTATCTGTTCAAGTGTGCCCTCCAGTAGCCTGTGAGCTCTGAGGGTAGGACTCATTTATTTTCCTGTTTATCTTTGTACCCTTGGCAGTGAGCAGAGTGCCTCACAAAGGATATCTTTAACAATGACTCACACACAAGATGTTAAGCTCAATCCCTATTTTCCTGCCTTAGTTCTGTGGGAGGAATAAGGCTGAGGTCACCTATGGATTTCACTCATACAGGTTATTCCCAATGCCCTCTTGGAACAAACGGTTGAAAGTGAATTCTAGGAGATGACAAATGATCCACAATAAGGCCTCTTTGAGAAACATGGACACACCTGTACTTGGTGAGTATTTACACTTTCCTCCCCCCATTTGTGGGGAAAAGGCAAGGTTGCGATATCTAGCGCCACCTGTCCTTTCTCTTTTGGTCTTCTCCTCCTGGGAGGGGTAAATGCAGACGTTGACATGCTTTCATAAAATTATCCGGATGTCTTCTACACTCTTCCTCTATACTTTCTCCTCACCTCACGCAATGTGTCTCCCTCTCCCCTTCCCTGGAGTTCTCCCTAGGCTGACCATGCTCCTAGCCTAATAGAGGCTACGCGAGACAGGATCACTCCCTCCGGGAGGCATGTCCCTGTGTGTGTGTGTGGGCGGATCTGAGCTGCTTCTTCACAGCTCTTCCTGTATATCTGGCCAGGAAACAATGCCAGATGCTCTGTTGGGTTTGGGGGATGGAGACATTTTTTGTCTGTGTGAGTATATTAGACAAAACAAAGATAACCAAAGAGATTTCAGGGCTACTAATGATGTTGGAATTGGTGGCTTTGCCTGTAATTATCCAGTGCAAAAAAAACAACAACAGGATTTGAAATGCTTTTTTCTATTAACTTCAGTATTTTTCTCAGCAGCTTTTTCAGCTTTTGGTATGGAACACGTCTCCATGATTAAAGAGCAACAAATAAGACAAAAGACGGCTGTGTGAAGAGAAACAGTAGACTTCCAATGAATTCTCTAGTACCTGGTTGACAACAGTGTTCCTCTTTTGAAATAACCCGTCAACTCTGGATGCTGTATCTTCTAACAATGGCAGTGTCCCACTCTCCAAAGTCAGGGAACTTTGTCTCAACTCATCCAGTGCTTTGGATTTCATTGCAAGTTGGTTTTCTATATCCTGGAAGGGCAAAAGAAAAAAAGTTCTCATATGCACACTATCACAAAACAATTAAGGTATAAGAGAGAGAAGTTTGCTCTTTTCAGGTAAAAACGACATTAGAGTATATAATTAAATAACATTACACTAAAGACACATTAATCATAACAGTCTTAATTTTTAGAATGAATTGTTACAATATAAATTTATATTACAATATGATTTTTTTAATAATAATTTCAATTATTTCATGGATGTAGACTTCTGGAAATCTAGGTAACAAGTCCTTATCATCATGGGATAGCAGAAAGAGTCCAGGAGATCTCGTCCCCGTTCCATGTCTGCCCTGTACTGGCGGTTTGACAGGCATTAAGTCATCAGACTCCCAAGTCGGCATTTTCTCATTTGGAAGAAAAACAGGGAGGACACCCTGTGTTGTGCATAGCCTGGAACACAGGGGAAACCAGGGTGGCCTGTTGGGGGATGGTGTAGGACTGAACTGTGGAATGTAAGCTTCTCGTCAGGAAGTATGTCAGATCTGAGGTGGCTGTAAGAATTCCAAAGTGGAAGGGACTAGTGGGCAGTTAGAAACAAGATAGGACCATCTGCAAAAGCTCTTACGGTGCTGTTGCTGCTCGCATATTACGTCCAGTATTATTCTGTAATCGTCTAGGTAGGATCGGGGTCTGAGGTGACTTTCCACCGTGACAGCGAGAAGTACCACACCTTCATGTCGTGGGTGCAGAAGCAGCATAACCTAGCCATCTGCAGTGACAGGGACAGCTGGAGTGCTTTCAGTGGGGAGCGGCACAATCAGGGCAGTGTGTACAGAGGATGCATCTACATGTGGGGGAGGGCACCTCAAAGACTAAGTGACCTGGTAAATCACAACTAAACAGCAAAGGGCACAGCCAACACCCTCAAGCCCAAACGCGACTCAGACACTTGTTCAAAAAGACAAGGGTCCTTTTAGAACACATTACGCAGTAGGTGAAAGAAAAGCACTTTTCTCTGAAGAAACAGAATGAGATACTCAAAATCATGGAAAC